CTCGTACACTTTAAATATTTTAAATTTTTTATTGGGGTATGAATTTCACTTACGCTTTTCAGTGAGAAAATGGTTCATATGAAACCTCTTATCTGTTAACGTTAAATACGAGTGTGTTATTTTGCTTAGCTTCACCAACATTTAAAATGCAATAATGACACTAACTATATCATCTCAGTTAAGATCGATTTCCACAAAACCTTTGCTGCATGACGATTTAAACGTTGTTAGGTTGTAACACAGTGAAAAGGTTACGTGGTGAAGAAACTTAAGGCATTTAGCTCGTGAACTGGCTCACTCTTTCATCATTAAGACACTGCGAAGTGTGTCAATCGCGCTTTTAAAGATTCATTCTACAAAGGTAAGGAATTTTTTTAACTAAAACTTTGCATAAGGACGTTTAAAAACTGAATGATGATGGCGTGGATTGTATCTTGGAAATTACGTCAAAGGTAATTCGCAAAGCATTTCAGTGGCATGGCTTCATGTAGTTACAGACCGTATAAGGACCGTATGAGGATGACTTTATAAGGCGCTTTTAGGCCTCTGTTCGTCATGGTCTATGGTGGAGCTTTCTCTAGGTGGGACTTGAAAAAAGATTTCGAAGTGTTCCTACAATAGTGTGCTGGATGCGTTTCATCTTCCAACAGTAGATTAATGGATTGAGGGTTGAATTAAGAAACAGTAGAGTCAGAGTATAAATTCTCAAATGTTTTACATCGATCCTTGTTTCGGGAATGGAAGCGGTAATAAATAATCTACAAGTATTGGGCAAATAGAAAACTATGAAAACCAGATACACGTAAAGCGATGCCACAGCAGATTTCTTTTTTCTTTGAACACTTTCGACTTGGTCATTGTGCGCTACCTGTGGGACTTGAAATTTGTTTATGTGGCGTCTTAGAGTTAGATAAAGTTTGACGCTCAGGGAAGTTGCAGTTATAATACAGGCCAATTTAATAGCGACGATACTCACATACATGATACTTTTTGGGATAAAAAACATGATCAGTGAAATAAGTGCGCTTATCACCCAGATGGAGACCACTACAGCAGCAACGCGATTGTGTGTCACAAGTTCCTGGTATCTGAGGTGGAGGTAAATTGCCAAAAATCTGTCTACACAGAGAGCGGTGACACTAAACAATGACGCATCAATGAACAAATTCACCGGAATAAGAAACGCGAGATATATGACATTATCAGTGTCATTGGTTGCATTATTTTGTTGAGAGTCCATGATAAATGCAACAAACATTGGCTGAACTAGTAAACCAACACCAAGATCAGAAACAGCCAGACTCAGAAGCAATGTTTTGAAATTTTTGGACAAGGACAAAGTCTTTCTGATCGCGTAGATTGCTACAATGTTCAGCATGGTGGCGGTGTAGGACAAGTACGCGTTTAATCCGCAAAACGTGAGATATGACCAATCCATTTGATGACCTTTTCGGGTAGTTGCGGCGCTTGAAGCAAGCAAATTCTTGTCCACCCTTGCAAGCGATTGTTTTTTTTTTTTTCAGGATGATCCGACCAAACCCGCGTCACGGATTAACTAACGTTCAGAGAGTTCCAAAACGATAAGTAAGTTAGACTTTGATGAAAAGCAGTTTGACTGACTAAAATGTGTCTTTAACTGAGCTACGATGAACTCTTTTCCGAACATACGATCACAGATGGTAGGGCATTGCTGGTGTGGTAAAGCAGATGTCCTATGTGTTTTTAAGACACTTTGAATAATTGTCGGGCGTATTTTTTTCAAAACTGGTAAGCAATTAGAAACAGGAGTTTGTGTTTCATTAAAACTTAAACTTAATCACCGGGAAAAAGAAATTGTCCGATCAGTATTGTCGGTGGGGCCGCTTTATCACATCCTGTGAAGCAAAATGTTCAGAAAACTCCTTCAAGGCTTTCCATCTGCTCAGTCTGTTTCTTTAACCAAATAGTTTCAGATGAAAATGTAACAAAACTGCCCAAAGATGTTAGTGCAAAACGCAAAGGTGTTGATCTCTGACTCATTCATAAGACATGAACAAATAATGGATCTGACATCCTTTTCTTAATAATTGTTTTTGTGTTTGATTTGGAAAATTTCAGTCGAATGGTTCTTGATTACTTCATTGTTATATGCTGTATTTTAGTTTAAATCGACCAGAATAACCGGCAAGATGACACGCTGCATTAGTAAAAGCAGTTATATGTATAATTTGGATCATTTTTGTTCTCACTTAAAGCAAAATGTCGGCTTAGGGGAGGGGTAGGTGGGCAGTTTCCAAGAAAGATAAAATGATCCAATAATTTCTTTAGGATGCGTAGTATTTAATAATCTTGCACCTTACCATAATCCCCCAATTTATCCGTATGAATATTCTTTCATTTGCAATTTGTAAGGTCGAAGAGAGAAGCTGTTAGACAGTTGCACTGCGTCTTTTAACAAGCGGGCTCAAAAATTATGGGTCGGTTATTAAAACGAGGTTTAACTTAGGCCGCGGTTTAGCAAACTTTAGACCTCCAGACTGAGATATCTTCGTTAGTGGGTTATTTTAAGAAGTTAAATGCTTTTCTAGTGTACGCCATGTGCTATCATGACACTGGTTACGATAAACAGTGATAAAAGCGTTGGGAAAAGTGAAAATGACTTAGAACACAGTTTTGTTGAACACTGGCTAAACTCCGTTTAAATAACTGGTCCTTTATGTTTCTTTGGGTTGCGGTGTTCGCTTTAGTTTCCAGCCGCCCCCTCCCCTCAGAAATGATCGCCCCTTGGCAGCCGAGGTAAAATCGCTTTTCGGCGATTATTGTTTGTACGTTTGTTATTGTGTTTTTCTCAATTTCAAAGCAATTAGTAAACAGGAGGTTTTCAATCAGAGTTTAACTTCAATTTCATCACCGGTAAACTTGTTCAACCTTTTTGCGGAGGGACCGCTTTATCGCATCCGCAAATAGTGATATAAATGAGAGGGTTTCTAACTTTCGTATTTCTTTAATGTTACCCAAAAGTTTACAAAAACGTTTTTTCTGTACTCTTGAGAGTGGTAAAATCTTTGATATTTTTTTACAGAATTGCAATCTAACATGACAAAATTTTGGAAGCGAAAAGATTTTAAATATCCAACTCGTTAAATTTCAGCTGTTTTATTTACTTGTGAAATGGTTCCCTAACCCGTAGCTGTACTGGGTCGTTGGGCACTTTGAAGGTATCTAAGTGGTAAAATGACTGTCTCAATGCTCTTTGAAACATAGGTTTTTCTATACTTCGAGGTATTTAGAAAACAGGAGGAATCATTTCCAAATTAAACTTCAACCATGTTTTGTCGGCAGGACTGCCTTTAATTATCTCACCCGACCGAGCAAATTGTCGACAGAGCCTGCGCATTTCTGTCTTCTTGCAGATGTCCTTTTTGTTTTTCAAACAATTTTTAAAATTGTATATAGCTCTTCCTAAACTTAAAAACAATTAGGAAAGAGGAAGTTTTGTTAACAAAAATAAACTTCATCTTAATAACAGGCAAACTTGCCCAACCATTTTCCCCTTCTCTCACAGTTTAGTCGTAATTAAACAAAAGAAAATGTTTTTTGTAGTTGTTTTAATGTTTTTGTTTTTATCTATCGAACCGAAGGATTTCCAGAACATTTTGATGTAACTGAGAGAAGACGAAGTGAAATTAAATTACCGTTTAAGACCAAATTGGACGCTAGTCGGCCAGGAAGAAGGGAAAAACAAACCCTCCGCAGGCGGGACTTTCCCCGAAAAAAGATCGCCTGATAGCAGATTCTCTCTGGTTCGAATCAAGACCACTGTCTTTTTGGAAACCTTGAAGTAGAAACATAAAATCGTAACTGATTCGATTTCGGGGAAATCAAAGGTTTCATGTACCTTCACACCACCATTGTGTTTGATTTGAAATTGGAAAGGACTCAAAATAAAAGTGTTGCGCTATTCTCTTTCACGCTATAGGAGCAGGACGGAGCCAAGTTGGTCAAAGGACGATTGGCTCCAGGCGGGTTGGTTTCCATGACACGTAAACTCATATGGATTTTTTGCTCATAATCCAGGATAAATCGACCTTTGAATAAACCAACCCTTGGGCTAGCGCTTAATAAACGCCCGCGGTTTCTATTTTCATACGGGCACTGACAATCTATAAAGAGAAACCAGGAGGCCTGTGAATATGCTGGTTCGACGGAGGGCATCACTAGTAGTTTCCATTGATAAAAATCCATACTTGGCTGCGAGGCTGTGGGGTATAAAAGAAAAGAAATCGCATTAAGGTTCAGGGTTCAATAATTCATTTCTTTTGTTTTATTCCCTTCAGCCGCGGAGCCAAGAATGAATTTTAATAATTCGATACTGACCCGTTTTCTCTCTTTTGTTTGTGTTTTTGAGTCTAAAGTTCCTCGGCACGCATTTTTAGGAGCCGCGAAAAAAAAAAATTTTGGTCCTGCTGGCGCTTAGTCAACAACAAGAACAACAACAGGAACAACAACAACAACTTTATTCTTTTTAGAAAAATACAAAAGTTGAATAGTTTGCCCCGTAAATAGCTGGAAAGCTTGTCGTGGCGGGGCAAGACAAGTACATCAACAACACAATTATCTGGTAAAAACAAAAGCCTTTAACTTAGTCACTGAGTCGTATAGTCGTGATCGAGGGAAACAAAATGGTGCAATCGTAACTATATTTAGTTTGATCACTATCTTCTTGGTTTCTAAGTCTAGGAAAGAAGTTGCAATAAAAGCTTTTGTGAACTCGAGGATGTTTTCATCGGGTGTTTTCATCTTCTTGCTGGCTTTGATAAGATCGTGCGTGTGATTCTACTTTAATTTCGTCAGCTTACTTCCTTTTCTTATTTTCTTATTTATCTGTAGGGGTGGGTCAGGAGGTAAACCACAATGCTTCATACTTTTAACGGAGTTTTGACAACTTTCGTGTTTCATTACAATGCATAAATTATTCCTCCGAGACAAATTGTTTTTTAAATCATTGATTCTAACGAGAACTACAACTATCTCTAAAGTTAATTTTTATTGTTATTCTATTGTATCTTTTTTTTAATTTTACGTTTAACATAACAAGATTTTACATTTGTTATTGTTTGTTGTTGTTGTTGTTTTCATATCGTTTATTATTTCCAGATGGATTTATTTGAATCTCTCTTTAGTTTTGTTTCGTAAATGCATTTCGTATAAAGCCAATAATCGTATGTCGGATGTGTTTCATCTTCCAGCAGTAGATCACAGGATTAAGCGACGAATTAAGGAACTCCAGTGTCACAGTGTAAAACTTCAAATGCTTCATGCCAGTGCTTGGTCTAGAAGTGAAGGCAATAGCAAAGAGTGCACAAATGTTTGGCAGATAGCAAACTGTTAAAACGAGGCAAACGTAAACTGACATCATCGCAAAGTTTCTCATCCTTCAGGAAGTTTTGTTTAATTTAACTTCAACTAAAACACATGAAACTTGCCCCACCGTTTTTCCCATCTTTGACAGTTAAGTCATATTTGAAGGTTTTTTTTCATTATTGGGGCCATTATATGGCTATATTGCGCCCGAGTGAACGAAATGCGAAAAAGGACAAAACTGTCCTTCACTCTTGTGTATGCTCCATATGCTCTATGTTCATTAAAATTTACTTTAAAATGGCATGTTGCTTATAAGTTGGGACTAAAAGCGGTCGAATGAAATATTTAAGAAAAAACTTTTCCTCGTTAGTTTTGTAGCCGATTTAATTGACAGTAAAAATCAAATGATGTAAAATGAAAGACTTCTAGTTTATGGCGTTAGCATGAGGGCTTCTCATTTAGAGTTTACAGTCCCTATTGAAGGAGTTACAAAGTGTTTTCTTCTCTTAAAGTTATGGTTCAGCATGGTGGCGGTGTAGGACAAGTACGCGTTGAATACGCAAAACGCGAGATGCAAGTAATCCATTTGTTGACTTTTTTTAGATAGTTGCGGTGCTTGAAGCAAACAAATTCTTGTCCTTCCTTGAAGCGTTTTTTTTTCCAGGATTATCTGACCAAACCCACGTCACGGACTGACTAACGCTCAGAGAGTTACAAAACGTTTAGTAAGTTCAAGACTGATGAAAAGCAGTTTGACTTACTAAAATGCATCTTTAAGTGAGCTACGATGAAACTCTTTTCTGAACATACGATTACTGATGATAGGGCATTGCTGGTGTGGCAAAACAGATGTCCTATGTGTTTTTAAGACGCTTTAGATAATTGTCAGACGTATTTTTCTAAACTGCCAAGCAATTAGAAATCGGGAGTTTTTGTTTCAAAATACAACTTACACTTAATTACCGGCAAAATGAAATTGTTCACAGTAATCAGTATTGTCTGTGGGGTCGCCTTATCGCATCCCGTGAAGCGAAA